GATGAGACCGCCGTCCAGCCGCTGCGCGGCGCCCCGGACCGGACCCAGCGGGCCGGCCAGGTCGGGGTAGGGGGGCGGGTCCCCAGTGGGGATGGAGTAGCGCGGGACCGTCAGGCGGTTCAGGGTCGCGCTGGTGCAGGGCTGGGGCACCTTCTTCTCGGTGGCGGTGAGCCTTAGGGTGGCCGAGCTGCCCGGGCCAGGGAGGGTGTAGGTGTTCTGTGAGCAGAGCATCCGCGTCCGAGGCCGGCACACCTCCTCCACGTTGCCGCTGCTGTCGAAGGTGGTGATCCTCTCGTAGCCCAGGGGCGGCTGGTAATGCGCCGCCGTCGGGTACAGCGAGAAGTCGCCCTTCTTCAAGCACACGTCCACCGGGGGCTGCGGGGGCGGCAGCGGGGGCGGCGGCGCTGCCGTGGTTGGGGCAGCCGGGATCGTTCCTGGGTAAGGGGGTGGGGGATTCAACTTCGCCACCTGGACCTCCTGGGTGGCGCCGAACACCACGGCATCCCCCTCAGCAGCCAGCGACGGGGCAGGCCGCAGCGCCTTGACCGGCTTCTGCAGGTGCTCGAGCTCGCGGTCCCCTCCGTGGTCCACCACCGACAACTGGGCTACCCCCGGGGCCGACGGCAGGGACAGCTGTGGAGGGTTCGGGATGAGACGGCCCATCTCCACACCTCCGAAGATCACCTGTCCCGGGCTGGAGTACCGGTTGGAGACTGGGTACTGGGTGGCGTTGTCACTTGCGTGCTCAGGGGCCCCAACGGCCGTGGTCTGATTGGTCAGGACGTCCAACTGCACGTTCTGATTGGCCAGCAGGGACTGCACCAGGCCGATGCTCTGCGTGGGGGACATAGCTTGCGCAGAGCTGTGGATGGGTGCGATAGGGATGTTCACGGTACAAGGCGGGTTGTTCTCCGGGACGCCGGACGCTCCCGTCACTGGAAGGAAATGAGGAAAATGAGCTGCTTACAAAAAAGTGCCACGAAACGGGGTCAGAATAAGCAATATTTCTCAACTCATCCAGTCTTTTTGCATACAAAATGCAACTGCTATCAACAGATGTGTTTGCTTGGGGAAAGCTGGACTGTTCACATACGTTACACAAAGCTTCTCTGCTGTTTCGGAAGGACACGCAGCGTTGCTTGTGGTAGGCCCTGCAGGGCAGCCGCCCTTGTCCATCAGCTAAGGACATTGTTAGGGCTTTTCAATGAATACACTTCTGAACCTTCTCCGTTTGGTACCATGTAATGGTACCATGGCAAATACTTATTTCAAGATGCTTTTTACTCGTGATATTCACAAAACAGCCCATTCTTTTGTGGAAGAAGAGGCAAGGGCACAGTATGAAACCAACCCGGGACGCACGCCTCAGCTTCTGGGTGGGTTTATCCAGGTCATGGGCTGGTCAATGTGGGATGTGCCACGGGGCAGACGTGTTTCTGAAATGTGTATGTATGTGAAGTTCCTGTAAACAGAACCATGTAAAATGGAGTAGAGAAACCGAAAAAAAGAATCCTCAGCAAATCTGCATGTTAGGGGAAGGCTCGTTTCCTAATTTATCTGCTTGTGAGCATTTCAAACAGCATGTAAGGCGGAGCCACACTGGATACAGCCACAGGCTTCAGTGGGAAGTTAGTGAAGCGCTTGCTTGAGCAATGGCCTGCACACACATGTGTGTGCTCAGACCCGCTGTCCTGTCCTGTCTAAAGTGTCTGTTGAGCACTGGCAAGTTTGCTCAACTGGCCTCTCTGAGTGTTGTGGCAACTAATTCATGGGCAGGAAACAGGACTGAAAGGGATAACTATAAAGGCTGGATGAACTTCCACCGGAATTACAGAATGAAGCTCCCTGGTTCATCAAAAGCTAAGCCCATCTCCTGGTACCTGTAACAGCCATCCCCTCCCTCCCTGCCTTCCCTCAGGTCCTCCAGTGAGATGTCACTCTCCCCTGGCTACACATCTCAAGTTTTCTGTTGTTCCTATTCAGCCTCTCTTCCACATGCTCTCTTGTCTGTAGGGGTTACCGGGGACAGGCATCTGCCTGCTGAAGGCGTCTCTGCCGTGTTGCCAGCGTGAAGTGTAAGCCTGAGACAAAACGTTCCTTCCTCTCACTGAGAACCGCAGACAGTTAATGACAGCAGCAAAAACAGCTGAGCATTGGAGAGAGCTATATTAGCCACATTCTGGGGGAGCAGGGAGGGAGTTAAGGGGACCGTGTAAGACACTTCTAAATCCACGATTCTCAAATAGCAGGGGACGAGCGATAAAACTCAAGTATATGAGGCTTCACCAAACTGCAGGTTTACGTGATTGCAAAACCTTGCCCATTAGCACTGTGTTAGTCTAGACCAGGGGTCCCCAACCCCCAGGCTGTGGACTGGTACCCCGTGGCCTGTTAGGAACCGGGCCGCACAGCAGGAGCAAAGTGGTGGGCTAGCCAGCAAAGCTTCATCTGTATTTGCAGCCGCTCCCCAGTGCCAGCATCACCACCTCAGCTCCGCCTCAGATCGTCAGGCATTAGATTCTCATAGCAGCACTGGTCCCTGGTGCCAGAAAGGTTGGGGACCACTAGTCTAGACCATGAGCTCCGCCTATGAGGAGAGGTGTGCCATCAGAGAATCAAGGATGGCTCCTGTCACTGTCAGAAAGCACAGGACAGGTAATTTTACACGTAAAACCTGGGCTGAGAGAAGGTAAACCACTCCCCGAAGTTCAGAGTCTAAGGGGGGATGTGTGTCCCTCCCCATCCCACAGCGAGGATGAGAGGCCCTCTGTTCCAGAACGACCAGATACAGGAGAATGCGGGGTTCCTCCGGCTCAGAAAGCAGAGGTTTTCAGACCCTTGCTTGGTGGTTAAGGAGAAGGGTCTCCGTATTTATAAAACTGAAAGTGGATTTTTCTGAGAAGAGTTACATATAAATAACTGGCAGACTAATTAGAAATCACTCTTATCTATTAACCAAAATAGGTTTCCCCCCACTAAGAAACACTTAAAATTAATTTAAGATGCTTTAGCTATTTGAAAATTTGTAAACTGGGATTTTAAAAAACTTGTATCAGATTTTACCTTTGACTGAGACCAGGCTTCTATCCACTGAGACCTGCACTGCAGGTTGGGAGCGAGGTGTTTAAATGCAAAGGTTTTCCACCTGGGGATGGGTTTGAGACACCGGGCTCCATGAGCAGCAGAGGACCATGTGAATGATGCCATGCTCTAAGCAGGGATTACAAGGATGAGGGCTAGCTGGGGTCAGCGAGACTGGGGTTCAGTTCTGATTTCATTGAGACGCGCTCAGTCCCTTAGCTCCTCTTTATCTGGGCACATGACTAAGAGGATTACTGCGAGGATGAAATGAGGTGCTCTGTGAATGTGAGGCAGCACGGCCACCTTAATCGTCCTTGCTCTAGTGGCTTCCCTCCTCCCCAAACCAGTGATAGTATGTGATCTCTCTCCTGTGACATGCCACTACACCACAAACCTTACTGAGGAAGTCACTCCTTTTCCATGCCATGGCAGCAGGCACAATCTACATGCCATAATCTTGTTGGGGGAGGTCAGAGAAGACACGACCCCTGGCTGGCCTGGGAGCTGGGCCCGGGCCACTGGAGGCCCCCTGTGCCCTGTCTCTGGACTGTGCGTTCCGCCTGCCCTCCCCACTCCCGGAAGCCGCCCCGAGGACACAGCCTTGGGACAGAGACGGGGTGCTGAGACTATCTGGATGGGGGACGCACCTGACCCGTCGGGGGCTCAGCACCAACCTTCGAGATTCTGGTGGTGGGTGCAGCCGCATAGGACAAGCCTCATAAGTTCTCCTGATCACCAAACCTGCTGCCGGCCAACCCGAGTAGCCGCCCCTCACTTCCTCTCTCCCTGCCCTGTGAGTAAGGGGGTGGGTTTCAGGTGTTCCCCAGAGAGCTCCCGAGCAGGCTGTGAAGCGACGACCACTGTGTCCCCTGCCACGATCCACTGAGGGCGGGCTCCTGACAAAGGTGCCGTGTGAACATACCTGGTAAATCATCTTCATCTTCACTGAAGACATTCGGGCTGAAGACAGGTAAATGGACATAGTCCGTGGAAACCTTCCGGACCTCTGGGAGATAGATGGTCATTTGCCGCGGCTGGAGATGCAGGAGGCTGGTTTTATAGATGACTGGTGGGGAGGAGAGGAGGTGGTTAGCAGAGACATGAGGACGAGAGCCCAGGCGCCAACAGAGTCAGGGAGAAGTGGGGTGGCGGTTCCCCTGCCGTGAGGACAGACCCGCAATAGGCCGCTCCCCCGCTCCCTGGAGCCCGCCCCGACACCGCGCCGTGGTCTGGGTTCAGTAACGAATTCTCGGTCTAGCCCAGCGCTCTGCCTGTGCTCTGTCTGTAGGGTATTAAAAACCTATCTTAGGCTTAAATTCTTTCTTGGAATGAGCTGGGGCATGATAAATGTATTTTTAAAAAAACCTCGTTTGCAGTCAGAAGGATAATTTAGCGAAGACGGTTGTGATAACCAGAGTGCTGAGCTCCGGGGACTCCTGGGTAGTCAAGGAGCTGCTGCAAAGCAGCCACGAGGTGAGGGGCGACACGGGTCTGGCAAGGACAACACGCTGCCTCCTTTCAGACTGGGTTCGTGTTTTAATGACTTCGATTTCAACTGCAGAATCAGTGTAGCAATTTACAGGGAACTTCCACATGGTTTCTTTAAACGCTAAGATTTGATTTGATTGACAAGGTCATTTGAGAGAAAGCCTAGATTGCAACTAAAAGATTTAGAGGAAACAAAGTAAGTTAAAAAAATAATGAATCTGAATTTAAGTCTCACAATAGGTTAAAATCAAGATGAAATTTCCTGTTAACTTTCTTTTATGTTGAATACTCTTTCCTATGAGGTATGTAGAGGTTCATCGTTATTATTTTCTTTTTTGTTAAGATCAGCCAAATTCTCTTTCCACAGCTGTCACCTCCAACAGCCTGGTGGCCAACTGGCCAGCATTCCCATGCATGGTGGCCTTCTTTTTGGAAGCACCTTCGTAAGGCTGGTGGTGGGCCTGGCATGGACTAAGATGACTTTCCAGCCCGGTGGTCAGTACTGTTCATCTTTCTCGTCCACATTCACATTAGAGAGTATGAATTTTGGCTTAAAAATTCTGGATGATTCCATATAGCTTAAGAACTAATGTATTAAAGCACTACTCGTTGTTATTCAGATTAACAAAGAAATAAAAATTTCAGGAGGGATTAAAAAATAACATCAGTTGCCTCCAGGGGAAAATAAAGTAGGCAGCTAGGGGTGAGGATGAGAGAGATTTTACTGTACTATAGTCTTTTAAGTCTTTTGAATTTTGAGTTTATTCCATATGGAAAAAATTAAGAAACATAAAAAATGAAAAATGAAAAAATTACATGGGCCCAATCATTCTAATTGCAGGAAACAAATGTCCAGTATGTGAACAGCACTCCATTTTAAATCCACTGGAACACCAAAGATTAATAGGGAGCCATATGTGACATATCTTCCAGAATCCAAGACTTCAAATCCTTTCTTGAGTTGAATCAAGTGGAAAATTCTTTTAGCTCGACAAATGAACAGTAATAGCCAAAATACTCTTTTTAAAAAGGTCAGTGATAAGGACAGTTATTTCCCTGCAGTCATTCAGAAAGCTTTTGTCTTGGGCACTCAGATTCCTCATATGGGAGCAGCACGTGTCTCAGAGGCACCTACAGACCCTGCCATCTTGAGGTCTTTGTTGACTTATTTGTGGATCTTCTCAACATCCAAAGAATAAGGGCAGAGTGAAAAGACCCTTTAAGGATATCCACACCTCCATTCCTTTTCTCAGTGTTCACCGTAGGCAGATGGCTAAGTTCTCAGCTTACTGACGAGATAAGCATGATAGGCAAATAGTGATTATTAGAATCAGCTGATACATCAGTAGAGCGCTGCCAAGTAACCAAGGAACAGGCTTTGTGGTCATCAGAGTCTGCAGGTTGTTGAAAATATTCTAAGAGATTTGTCTGCATTATGTACAGGGACAGTCTATTGTCATTTCCTAAATCAGTTTTATGTTTTACTTTTATTCCTCTTTTTCTTTGAGCTGAGAAACCTCCAAATGAAATGCAGCACTATTTAATAAGTCTCTGAAGATGCACACATTGCAGTGGGTCTTTTTAAACATCTGATTTGCAAGAAGAATTTATTTAAAAGGATCTAAGAGCATCTGAAACAACTCTTATAGGCAGATTCAGAATTTTTCAAAAATCATTTTCAGAACACATTCGAGATGGGGCCACCAGCCACAGGTGAACCCTACCTGGCCGAGACAGCCTTCCAGAGACATGTGTGCACATTAAATGATCAGGAAGCCCAGCAAGGTGGTGGGGGAACAACACACCTCCGGGGCCCGCATTGGGATGTGCCCATCAGAATGAAGCTGCTTGGAAAGGGTCTCCTGCCATTTCACTGCTTCCCGTCCCTAAGTAAATGTGACAACTCAGTACTGCGGGCTTTATCCAGAGCACTGATGAGACCGCAGATTCCAGGTTCCAGCTGGCTTTGGACTCCCTTACTTCCCTTTTCCTTACTATCTGAAACTTTCATGGCCAGGGCATTTATCTGGTACTTAGAGATGACGCCTATAAAGATTCACCAGTTGGCCAGCTTCTCCGTATAGTCTTTAACTCTTTCTTTTTGACTTTCTTCAGGAATTTCTTTTAACGCAAGAACCTAAAATACTGATGCCAAACCTGCATGCTGTGAAAGGCGAGAAATCAAAATAAACAGAAACCTCTGAGAGCTCTGAGAGATTTTGGCTATTTCCGTCATTTTTATAAGTCAGGGCTTATATAAAAAAAATGAAAGCACCACTGGCAAAAAACACAATTTGAGTGATCACTCTGATTTTTGTGAAATCACAGTGGCTGGCGTCAAGGTTGGATGGTAAAGTTCAGGCTAATCTTTTGATGTCGTAAGAGCTCATTTTCTATTTCAGGCCACTGAGGGTTGAAATTGGTTGTTTCAGTCTGAGCTGCAACTGGGAGAGCGGGCAGAGAACGGACATGGTTTTTACCTGCACCAAGGCTGGTTGGCAGGAAAGCAGCCAAGCCCACAATCTTGAATTTCGTTCCCCAGATATTAGAGGTGACCTGGGCAAGATAGTTGTGCTGTGGGAGAAAAAAAAGGGGGAAAAAAAATCACAATCTACTTTCATGTCTTCCATTGATCACTTAAGTAAGAATGCTAACACTTAAAAAGTGCTTAGAGGCCCACAGGTGTGCACTGCCGCAGGCATTCGTTCCCTATTTCTTCCACCATTGTTAAGACCGGAAGCCAACTGCGCATGTCAGGCACCTGTTTTCAGAGGGCGCCTCACAGAGCTGTGAGCCTCAGGTCGGCAGCGAGAGGCAGATATGTCCCAGCGAGTCTGCGCATGTTCGAAAGGCCACCAAAGGGATTGGCGCGCATTTCCCTTCACCTCGTCTTTCCCCCAACCAGTGGACTCGAAAGGGTCCTGGCTCTGAATCCATTTTTATCCTTGATATTTCTCCTAGAAACATCAGCGGCACTGATATCGTTACATCCTGAAACCACCCAATTATCTGTTTCCTCAGTGAAGTTCAAAAGAATTTACAAAGGGATCGCTGTGCCCACGCCACGCGCGTGTGTGAACGGGGGCAATCACGTGATGAACAAAGCTCAGCTCCTCAAAGAGCTGCTGACCTAACGCGAGGTGTGTGACCTCCGCACACGGAAGGTCACCGAGAAACCAGTCAGGGTCACAAGGGAACGAACGTGTCTGAGCAGAGAGCGAAGCCTTCACGGCAGACGAGAAGTGAGGTGTGGACGCATGGGGGCTCCCAGTGACCCAGGCAGAGCAAAGGCTCAAAGGAAGTGGGGTGAGGTGGCGTCTGAGGTTGCACTCAGAGCTGACGCGGCCTGCCTGAAGGCAGGGGCGGTGACAAGGACCAACAGGGTTCTAGATCCGTACGCTTGGTTTCTGGGACTCAGTGACTAGCATGGACACGGGGTAGGGAGGGTCTGGCCACCATGGGGTGCGCGCTGGCGAGGGGAGGAGCGCTGGGAGGGGACGAGCGCTGGGAGGGGAGGAGCGCTGGGGAGGGGAGAAGCACTAGGAAGGGGAGGAGCACTAGGAAGGGGAGGAGCGCAGGGAGGGGCGGAGCGCTGGGAGGGGAGAAGCGCTGGGAGGGGAGAAGCAGTGGCGCATTATGAAGGGGAGGAGTGCAGGGAGGGGAGGAGTGCAGGGAGGGGCGGAGCGCTGGGAGGCTGGGAGGGGCGAAGCGCTGGGAGGGGAGAAGCAGTGGCGGCGCAGCCTGCGGCCAGTGTGTGTGATCACCGGGACCGAGACGCTACCTGAGTGACATCTTCGAAGGGAAACTCTCTTCGCGTCAGGCTGGGCGAGCCGATGGAGGGCTTGCGCATGGGCAAGCGAGGAGACCTGGACATCTCCTGAGCGGCCCGGGACAGCTTGGGAGACTTCCGAGCCTCGATGTTGATCCTGCGGAGACAAGGCAGGAGGTCGAGCGCCGGGCGCCACCGCAGGGAAGGCCCCGCACTCCTGGCACTCCCTTCCCCTTCCAGCAGTCACTGGGGGTGTCGCGTTCCTTGAAGCCATTCCCGTTAATCTAACCAAGTCCCTCTTGCCTGCTTCTGCTTCATGAACAAGAGGAAAGAAGACAGGTTGTATACTGAATAATAAAAATTTTAAAATACAGTGAAATTAAGTGATTCGTTTGTAAGGAATCTCAGAAAATTAACTGTCTTTCACTTTCTACTGACTTAGAACGAGTTTAGAAATGTCCCCGTGCCTGCTGCCAGGGGTCTGCAAAAGCAGCCCCAGAGTCATGTCTCACCTCACAGCTGCAACTTTACAACTGCTAATACAACCTCCGGATTTCAACAAACGTACCTAGCATTTCAGCACCTGCAATATCTAAATCAAATCAGTAGAACTAAAGTTTTTCTGCTGCCTTCTGAGCCTACGTTAGATCTGTGGTCCTCAGTTTAAACCATGGGGATACATGTATTTAATGCCAATCTACCCCAAAGAGACGTATAAAAATGAAGATGGTGAGGTGGATGACGTTCTATGAAAGAAAGGCACGAAGCCTCACATGCACTGTGGAGAGCTGGATGAGATGTCCAGCGCTCCCAATGCGGCTATGCAGGTTAACCTGTGAGAGGACCATCAGCCTAGCAGCCCGGCCACTGCGTGATGGCCTTCAATGCAGGGAAAGACGGGAGGAAGCAGACTAGCCACAGGGATGGCGACATCCAGAAACTTTAAAAAGACATTACAGGACATTTTGTCGCTTATATGTTAAAAGTCCTTTCTGCTTAAGTAATGGGAAAAGGTGGAACATTATAAAAGTGTAGGAAAATTCTTAATTTTATTTTTAATTTAACAATCTTAGAACAAATATGAAAAAATCAATCAGATTACTAAGCCACTGGATATCTACATGGGAAAAAATGAACATTTACCTCTAACACTATACACAAAAATTACTCTAGATCTAAGTATGAAAGCTAAAACTATGAAGCTTCTAGAAGAGAACACAAGAGGGTCTCATGACCTTAGGGCAGACAAGAATTTCCTAATCAGGGCACAAAAAGCACTAACCATGACAGAAGAAGTCCACATATGTATCAGACTGGATGGCAGTCCATAGATCTGACAAAGGAGTCATCGCTAGATACATAAAGAATCTTACAACTCGATAAGAAAAAACAACTCAAAAACAATGGGCCAAAGACTTGAATAGACACTTCACAAAAAGAAGATGCCCAAATGGCCAATAAACATAAAACGCTTCTTAGCATCATCAATCACTGAGGATTATACTACAAGAAGATACCACTACATACCCACCAGAATGGGTAAAATTATTTTTTAAATGACAATACAATTGTAGGTGAGAGTGAAGGCAGCTGAACTCTCGTACACTGCTGGTGGGAGTTTAGAATGGTACAGGCGTCTTGGAATAAATTCTGTTTGGCAGTTTCTCATAGTTACACATCTATCTACCCCCAGCCCTGTGACTCCCCTCCTAAGTACATATCTGAGATGAGTGTGTGCACATGCCCACAACGAGACCCGCAGGTCTACATTGGGTTCATGTATCACAGGCCCGAACTGTAAACCACCAAATGTCTATCAACTGGTAAATGCAATACACGACCTGTGGTATAGTCACTGCAATGGAATTCCATAGAGCAAAAACGAAAAAAACTATGACAGACACGACATGAATACGCAAAAAAAAAGAGCCAAATATAAAAAGTGGACACTGACTGGTTCCACTCATGTGACAGAAGCGGGAGCAGTGATCACTGTAGGGAGTGGCTATGGCATGGGAGGGGCCCAGGGGACTTTCCAGAACAACGCAAATGTTCTTTATCTTCAGCAGCTGGTGAATACACTGGCTTACCGCCTGCACAAAGAATTATGTGTTTACGATCTGGGCAGATACATATCTGCATGTAAATGTAATTTTGCAGGGCATCACGCACTTTTAGAACTAGGTGAAGATCTGGTCCACCCATGAACTTCCACAGATCAGGAAACTGGTATCCAGGTCAGGATTTGTCCATTTATACAGCCCGAGGAGGTGGAGCCAGGACGAGAAGATGGTGTTTCTTATCTGCAACACCACAGGCCCTTCCGTCTACTCTTCCTTAGCTTTTTGCTGCTCTTCAAAACAAGCCTTTAGGAGCTACAGGTTTTTTTGGTTTACTATTTTTTTCCCCAACTACAGTATTATAGCCATTTAATTGGCATTGTCTTCAACATATTACATACATATAAAACCTTTTTCTTACTGTTCTCAAACAAAAAAATATACAAGTAAGCCAGAAAGTTCTGGCTACTCCATGCCACCCGTCATCAGCACTGACCCCTAGGGAAGTCCTGGGGTTTAGCAAACTTCCTATTGGGTGTCTTTTTTCACCCAGGAGGTGAAAGAGGCAGGCTGCAATCACCGCAGGCCGCCCTGAGAGGTGGGAGGCCCTCCTGCTGGCCCCTCCTGCTGTTGGTTCCAGTGAGATTCTGACAACAGACACGCCTCCAGAGGCACACAAAAAAGGGGAGCACCCCTGAAGACCGAGATTACCTTGGGAGTCTGGGTGACTTGCTAGCTCGGGGGATTTTGGGAGACTTCTTGGCAGCCCAGTCATCACTCAGTTCGATGTCACTGGAGTCTGAGCAGTTGCAGCTGTCGATCACGGTAGAAATCAGGCTGTTCCCATAGATCTCATCTGGTAAGACACCAATTGACAAATTGATGAGAAGTGATAGCAATTAGACCCTAACAAAGATTATTACTAGAAACCAAGGGATGGACCAACTCTACAGGCCATTGTTTTAAGTCTAGAGGGTGAAGCAGAGCAGAGTATCGTTTTCCTTTGACATCTGAATGCTGGTACATTTTCTAAGCAAAAGTAAGCAATTGCTCCTACTGTTATCCAAGGGGGCATGGCATTTTAACGCCTCTGGAATGGAGAAAATAATCTGGCACTTGGCTATGCTAAAAGCAGAAACCAAAATGGCTGCACTGTTGTACCCCACCTCAAGCCAGCAGGCGCCACCTGCATCCATCTGCGTCCATGCCGGCTTCCAAGCTGCCCAGAACCTCCTCAAGAATCTGCTTCTGACCTGGGACCTGGGAAGGCCCTTGTTGTGCCCGAGCCCGCTCTAGACTGGAGACCTGATGGAGCTACTTATGTCTGCCGGCAGGACAGTCTGCTGGCACTGCCACAAGGTCCCTTGCGGGGGCCTGGCTGTCCCGCTGATAGAGCCGGAAGGAAGGCCTGTGCAGTGGGACTTTCAGGGGTACCTCTGGGTTCTGCTGAGGGTGGCTGTATCGAAGCCACTCAAGATAACTTTGCCAATCAATTGCCCAGGAGGCGGAAGATCAGCGCCCCCAGAGCATCAGGTGATGTGCACAGAGGTGGGGCCATCACAAAGCTGCTAAGGAGCCGAAGTCCATGTCTGCCATCCTCCTCAGAATCCCTCTCCTTTGCTGCCTTCCTGCCACCACCCCCTGACATCCCTTCACTACCCAATCCCCTGCCTGGTCCCACCCCCAGGCCTCTGCCCTCACTGGAAGTACATTCTCCAAAATCACTTTGCTGACTAAAGCCTCATTCCCTCGAGCCTGCGAGAACCTTGCCAGGTAATAAAAAAGCTGAATTGTTCAATCACAATGAAATAATTTATAGAACTATAGAATGAGAGTGATTTTACCATTCAAGAAGGTTGTTTACATTTTAAAGGATGAGTTTGCTAATCCAATCCAATGTCTAAATTTCTGCACATATGGAGGTGACATCTGTGAACAGGGGCCTCTCCGAGGCCACTGGGGGCAGCAGAACAGCTTGGCGCGCAACATGGAAGGAGGCTGGCTGATACCCAGCCGTGTTACCAGGCCAGCCCTTCTTACTCCGCTTGCTGGATCAGAAGGCACAACTCGTGAATCCTGCAAATTCCAGTGGTGTGCCCTTGAGTTCAATCAAATAAAAAGGCTTAATTCACATGCCCTGACCAGTGCCTTGTATTATTTAATTTAGGAGTCAATGGACCAGAGGAAGCTTGGCTACGATTCAAACGTGCGTGTGAGCACAGGGGATGCTTCCATGTGTTCACAGCGCAGAGCCAGTTCATCGACTCAGAAAAGCGTCGTCCACCCAACTCCTGACCTACTTGTTCACGCCAGGATTTCGCAAAAGCTACATGCCTTCCATTGCTTTTTTCCCCTTTACTCATGGAGTATCCATTTGGGCTGCTATAACAAAATACCACATACTGGGTGGCTCATAAACAAAAGAACTTTGCTTCCCACGGTTCTGGAGGCTGGAAGTCTGAGATCTGGGTGCCAGCATGGTTGGGTTCTGGTCACAGCCCGCTCTGGGCTGCAGACTTCTTGCTGTGGCAGAAGGGACTGGGGATTCTTCCGAAGCCTCTTCCATAAGGCACTAGCTTCATGATTTCAAAGGCTCCACCTTCGTGACCTGGTCACCCACCAAAGTTCCCACCTCTTCTTAATACGGTCACAGCTGGCACCAGGATTTCGAGCTACGAATTTGAGTGGGTGGGGGCACAAGCACTCACTACTGCTTTTTGGTCTGTCTCCCCGACTGGTGTGTAAACTCCGCGAGGGAAGAAGGTGCCGGTCCTGCCACCTGTTGTAACCACAGAGGCGAGAACAACCCCAGGGGCTCGATAAATACCTCCTGACAGAAAAAGGTCTTTTCTGTGCTGCCTGGCTGCACCCCACACCACTGCAGCAGGATCCCGGGGAGCGGGGTGCGGACACTGATGACTGTTACAGCTCCCAGTGACTCCCATGTGCAGACGCAGCTGGGAACCACTCAGCCAAGGGCAGTGAGGACCTCCCCACAGAAGGGAGTTAAAGGAGGTGTGTGAGAAATGTGCCCTGAGCCCTGTGTGCCTGCCACCTGTCATCAACAAACTAGAAACCAGAAACTCAGCACACTGTATCAGAGCCACACTCGGGGAAACCAGAAACTCAGCACACTGTATCAGAGCCACACTCGGGGAGGTCAGGGCTGGTGGCCGGGTATATCTCTTAGTTCTACAGATGCGGTGTCAGCAATTTATCATGGAAATTCTGGAATAAACATCCAAGTTGTAGAAAAACGTTAAGTTGAGATTGTTCTTTGAAAACCAAAACTGTAACTGGGGCTTCACATGCCAATTTTGTCAGTTTTAAAAAATATGCTCATTTCATCTAGGTTGAAGGCTTTTCAAAATATGCAGCTTGAATCAGATATATTATTAAAATTTTAAGAAATCTTTAAATGTGGTTTTAAAAGCTTTTAAATATAAGTTGTCTTAGTCTGCTCAGGCTGCCATAGACTAGGTAGTTTCTCAAAGTCTGGGAGGCCGAAGCCTGACAGCGGGGTGCTGGCACCGTCAGGCCCTGTGAGGGCTGTCCCCCTGGCATGCACATGGCCGCCTTCGTGCGTGTCCTCACATGGCCTTCCCTCGGTGTGGACAGACAGACCTTGCCTCCTTTTCTTATGAGGCCACCAATCCTACTGGATTAGGATCCCACCTTCACGGCCTCATTTAACCACAATGAACCGCTAAAAGCCCATCTGCTAATACAGTCACTTTGGTAGTTACAGCTTCAACATGTGAAACTACGGGAGACACAATTCAGTCCACGGCATACGGCCCCTAGTTCTCCCTCCATTCATGTCCTTCTTGTGTGCAAAATACACTCAACTCCATCCCAACAGCCCCAAAGTCTGAACTCATTCCAGCATCAACACTAACATCTGAAGTCCAAAGTCTCATCTAAATATGTAAATCAGATATGGGTGAGATGCAAGACACAATTCACACCGAGGCAAAATTCCTCTGGAGCCGTGAACCTGTGAACCCAGGCAAGTTATGTGCTTCTAAGACTCAGCGGCGACACAGGCCCGGATAGACAGCCCCATTCCAAACGGAGAAACGGGAGGGAAGGACGGGGGACAGATCCCGAGCAAGTCTGAGATCTAGTAAGGCAAGCGCCACGAGATCTGAAGGCTCGAGAATCCTCTTCTTTGGTTCGACACTCGGCCTTCCAGGCCTACTGAGGTGGCAGTGTCACCCCCATGTCTTGAGGTGGGGGGCCCCACGGCTCTCCTGAGCTAGGTTCTTGTCCTCAAGCCTCCAGGTGGAGGCTGTCTGGCCTGCTGAAACCAAAGCGATGGCCCCGATGGCCTCTGGATCGCCTTTGGGGTCATGTTCCCCCCTTGAAGAACAGGCACGTTCCCGGTCAGATAGCTCCATCACCCCATCCTGTCAGATCCGAGCCATCCGACAGCCGTCCTTCATCTCGTCCTGTAAGAATAGGCGAGAACTTCCCAATCTTCAAGTTCTGCTTCCTTTCTGCTTAACATTCCTTCTTCAGTTTGTCT